CTTTTATACATCTTACTTTGCTGCAGCAGAGAATCTTTGTCCTTGTCTACATATGCAAAATATACCCCTTTAGCTAGACTGGTACAGATAAAGGGGTACACCCCCTAAGACCAGACAGAAAGGGGAATAAACTAACAACTGTATAAGGCTCTTCATGCCAGTATAACTACATCCATCTTAAGATTGTGCTAACTAAAATATTTACACTGGTGCAAAACCTGCATGTATACAAGGCCATAGATTTTTACAGAAATCTGACCCGCTGAACTTTACACAGGACATGATTTGGCTAGCTGTGGGCCTAATGCCATTACAATTCTCGCTTCATGCCAAAAAGCATAAAATGGATGCCTATTTACAAACTTCTGCAACAGCTTAGGGTGTCTTTGTGGGAAGTTACTGCACAGAGCCAACCAACTTCGACCATGTTCACCAGGCAACAGGTTGCTTAGCAACAGAGAAGCCATCACAAAATCTTCCCTCTGAAGCAGGAAAGTGTGATAATAAATGCAGACTGCTAAGGACCCTCAAGAACATGTATTCAATAGAACTCTTCTTTTCAACAACTGAACTCTTGGCACAGTTTTTAACAAGGTGGCAAATGCTGAAAAGTCAAAGTCTAACTCTAGTTAACTTTCTATGGTTTTGTAAACAGTTGTAAAACGTTTTGCTTTTCAAAATAAAACCTGGCATAGAATTGAGAAAAGTGGGGTTTTCCCACTTCCTTTCTTCATGGAAAACAAGACTGCCATTTTCCTAAATAGTAATGTTAGAACATTTAGAAGTATTTCCAAATAGCACCCCCTAGTTACCACCAAGTGTGCCATCTACAGTATACCCACTGCCATCTACACCCACTACCTCAGCTTCTCGCTTGATACTCACACTAGAGTGAGTATCGAGTGAGGAGCGAAGGTAGTGAGGGCTTCTGCTCTCTTCAAGGTCAGCAATGACCTCCCGGTGAACAAAATCTAAGGGATCCACAACTTGCTATATTAACCCTTTCTAAAAGTCTCTTCTCCTCTTCCCCAATTTCTCCAAGACTCATTCTTCCATATAGCTCCATAACTGGATGTTCCCTTGGTTCTCCTCCTCCCCAGATGGCTGCTCCTACAATAGTGTTTCTTTGACAACTCCTGTATCTCCTCCTGATCCCTCTGTGTTGGCATTGCTTAAGGGAGAGTTTCCCAAAGTATGCTTCGTGGAGCCCTGGGACTCCGCACAATGGGCCCAGGGGCTCCATGAGACAATATTAATGACAGTTGTATGACTCTTATTTTGTTAATATTTTTGGATAGTTTTCTTTGGGAGGGAAAAGAAATACACAAGAAATAAAAATAGACTTTCAAATCTTGGCCTATTTAATTGGGTACCTATTGAATTAAAAATCATGATATTTTAAGGGCTCTGCCAAATTTTCAGGATCCCATAGCGGTTCCATGGCCAAAAGAGATTGGGAAACCCTGTTTTAGGGTTTATCCTCATTTTCCCAGTCTATGCTCATCCCCCTAAGATTATCTAGTCTCATGACTTCGGATACCACCATCTCATAAATCTACTTTCCTGATCCCGATTTCTCCCATTCTGTTTAGTTTTTCATCCCAACATCTCACTCTACATGACTATATCATCTTCCCGTTTCTTCCCAGGACCCCATCATGGTAGGTGCTGTACAAACACAGAACACAATGACAATCCCTGCCTCAAAGAGCACGCCAGCAGCTTAACCCCATCCAGTTAGTTATAAGATCCATAACAAATGAGAGTTTTTAAGATGGAATTTGAACAAAGTAGCTTTACAGAGATTTACAGGGAGCACCTATCTAGTGGAAGCGGCAGCAAAGGAGAAACAAAAATAGAGTGTGTTTGAAAATTTAAGAAGTGAGCCACAGTCTGGTATCATATGCCAACCAGAGGTGGGAACGGACATCTCAATGAGATATAATAGATAACAGGGGGATAGGCTATGCAGAGCCTTGAATGCAAAGACAGGTACCTTATGTTTTATGTGACAGAGAATAGAGAGCCAGTGAAGGGATATAAAGGGGCAGACATAGTCAAAGCAACGGACAATGAAAATGATTTTTGCATCTGCATTCTGAATGTATATGAGCGGGTCAAAACAAATCAACCAACTGATTTCATGAGAGAGAGAGAGAGACTTTTTTAAACGAGACAACTAATTGATAACCCACAGAAAAAAGTCTCTTAAGAATAATTTTATAAAAGGCACTAGCTTAACTACTCTAGTGACTGTCTTTTAGTTACCTGAATAAGAACAGCATGGATAGTGCAAGAGTATTTCATACTTACATAACACTTAATAGCTTCCAAGTGCTGAACATCAATGATTACCCTGTACCTGCTGGTATAAACTGAAACTGTTCTGCCACAACTACTGGTCACTTTCATTGCAGAGAAAAATAGTCTACATGCAAGTTACAGAATGCTTATTGCTTACAGTGTCCTGTCCATACTGCAAACAATGTATGTTAGGAATGTTTAGCTTAATTTAGAAGACAACCATGCATCAGTCTAAGACTCAGTCAAGGTAAGATTATCAGCTGACGTCAATACTACTATTAGCTACATAATGTGTGGGTACTGACTGTTTAAACTCAACCATATCACTATCTACCTACAAGCCACTAAAATATTAGTGTAGATAATAGTCAATACTACCCACTGTTTCAGAAACAGTCACTGCTGACATATAACTGCTACTTGTAGACTAGATAATATTTGGGGTTTGGTGGGGTTTTATTTAGTTTTTAAAGACACTTAAGATTAAGGCAACATTTTGAAATATTAAATGCCAGAAAATGAGGAACCTGAAATGAGTAATCTGAAACATTTTAAAGGGGCCTGATTTTGAAAAAGAACATATTCAGCAGTTTCTTAAAAAGGCAGACCTCATAATACATCTGAAGTCAGGTATCTTCGGGCAAAATCTTTGTCCCATGTCACTAAATAGTCAAATAATGTTTGGCTAATGAGGAAAAAAGCTACAACTTATCCATGCTCACAAACACTATCATGACCGCAGTGAGCCGCTATAAATATTTCCCAAAGTTAGGGGACTATCGTAACTTTTTTGACTTCCATGGGTGTAGGGACCATGTCCACAGGAATCAATGCAGTATAAATGGAATCTCGATGTGTGCTTTTGAGACTTTTAATGCCTTTTTCAGGAACAACATCTAAGAGTCTAGGTTTATGATACCTTTTGATACTAGAATTAAACACTGTACTTTTACTCAGCACTCATTCCACGCATGATTTTGCTGAGTACTGCTTTATATTCAAGTGCTTTCAGGATATTAAAATCCTCTTCTACAAGTATTCCAGAGAGATAGTCAGGCATTAAATGAGTTTCATACCAGCTGCCAAAGCAAACACATAAAAAGCCTTTGCACACAAATAACACTGCAAGAAAAATAAAGGGGAATGCTTTAAACTATTCTGCCTGTACAGACCAGCCACACAAAATGTTCCATTTTTAACAAAACGTTAGAAATAAGTGAAACAAAGATGAGCATTTGTGTTTTGTAAATGTGCACAATTAATATTAACCCCTTTTCTACTGGTTACTGATAAAAGCTTTCTGCTTTATAGCTAACAATATTCAGGTCAGGACTGTATTTTACCCTACCTACCAAATTGCAATCAAATGGTTAAACCACATGTCATTCTATGAACTATAGAGAAGGCAGGAGGGTGTCCAGTGGATAACTAGCTGATTACATGATGCCAACTAGAAAAGGGAATTGAACTAAAAATACTTATAATAATAATAATAATAATAATACCATTACTTTTCCCTGTTAAGTGTGACTGTAGTTCCATGGGAATGTTATGTGATAATGAATGACAAGATAATTTATCTGTTAAGATGTGGGTCATATGACAAAAAAAAGTATGACTGCCCTAAATTTGACAAAAGTCTTTAAGTCATTAAAGAAGCAGTGTTTCACTCTTATGAATTGTGACTGCTTAAGCAGTTATAAGGAATACTAAATGTATTTCCTTGCCTCCAAACGACTACGTTTAACGATATATACACATAAGATTTGTTTCTCTGCACCTCTTCACTCTTTGTTATTTAAGCACACGTAACCAAACAGGCTCCCTTGCATTTCACCAATTCAGTTCTCCCAAGTTGCATCATCTAACCTAACTCCCCTCTTACCATTATTTGGAGTTTCTGAAAAGAGAAGGAGATGTTGTCTCCTTCTTGGCTCACACACTCCCCACTGCAGTTGGTTTTATTATTAATCATATTATGCATTTATACAGCACATTTCAACACAAAAGAATTCAATGTGCTTTACAAACTCTGGCCCAATTCTTCAGCAGTCTCCCACTAATTGAAGTGATTCCAGTGTCAGTAACATGGGCCCTGGTTTTTAAGAGCACCCACAACTGTCAGAGATGTGAGTACTCAGCATTTCTGGGGGAAAGATATGCCAGATGTCTCAAATACTGGAGATTTGTTAACATGCATGCAATGGCTTCACCACTGAAGCACTAGCAGCTGGCATGCAACCTGCGCAACGGAGTTATGGCTAAGGACACTCAAGGCAACCTCTGTCCTGAGCACGCTGAAGAGAATGGCCAAGGAAAGATACTGTCCCAAATCCACAAGCTAATTTGATTTACCACTCTCCGCGGGACAAGGGGCTCATACGGCCCCTGAAGAGATTCAAGCTCAGGTCTAGGCTATGGAGCCAGGGTACAGCAGGACCTCCCTTATCCAACCAGCTGTGGCGACACGTGGGTCACTCAGGAGCACAGCTGTCACGCTCGGGGTAGCTTCCAGCCATTCCGTGCAGACAGCGGTAGGAGCAATGACACAGCCCGGCCCGGGGGAAGGGCAGGATCTTATTACGCTTCGGATCCTGCCCCTGCCAGCTCAACCACCCCCGCGGGGTCCATTTCAGCCGCCTCCGCGGGGCCCGCAGCCCCGGGCAAGAGAGAGGGCCGCGGGGGCCCTTCCCTACCTGTCCTCCTCTGCATGTTGTCCCGGAGCAGGTCCCCGCTGGACAGGTGCTTCAGGGCGAAGTGCTTGAGAATGCGGGAGGAGACGGTGCCCTTGCCGGAGCCCGGCGGGCCCATGATCACGGCCCGCAGCAGCGGCTGCACCACCATG